ATCTCAACAAGAGGGGAGTTACATTTTTAAACCCAGCTCTAGGAAAATAAAAAAATCCATCCTTGCAGTGCCCCCCCCCCCCCCCCCCCACACTGCAAGGGTTAATTGGTTGCTATGTTTAAGGGAAAAGGTTGTTTTCCACTTCCCCTGCCAGAAGCTCTAGTCTGTGGGAGTAGCCACAGTGTCATCACGTACTACACAGGAACATTAACCTTGTATGGTACCCCGAGGAGGCTAGAGGGTGACCTGAGCTGCCTAGAGAGAGGCTGCAGGGGAGAGGTTGCAGTGCTGGAGGCTGTCTGCTGGAGTGAGGAATAAGGAAAGTATTTACTTCTTAATCCTCTGCCCCTAGACTAAACGAGTAATAACCATTGCAGTGGAGTTGGGCTTTAAAGCAGAATTAAACTTACATTTTTTTTTAAAACTGCTCACAGGTAGGGTTTAAATATTTATTTCCCTTGACTGTCAGCGGAAATATACACTGGGCCAAACATGCACAGCTCCAAATCATTGGATTCAGGTGTTCCAATCACCTCCATAGCCACAGGTGTATAAAATCAAGCACCTAGACATGCAGACTGCTTCTACAAACATTTGTGAAAGAATGGGTCGCTCTCAGGAGCTCAGTGAAGTCAAGCGTAGTACTGTGATAGGTTGCCACCTGTGCAATAAGTTTATCCGTGAACTTTCATTGCTACTAAATATTCCACGGTCAACTGTTAGTGGGATGATAACAAAGTGAAAGCAAACTGGGAACAACAGCAACTCAGCCACAAAGTGGTAGGCCACGTAAAATGACAGAGTGGGGTCAGCACATGCTGAAGCACACAGTTTGCAGAAGTCGGCAACTGTCTGCAGAATTAATAGCTAAAGACCTCCAAACTTCATGTGGCCTTCAGATTAGCACAACAACAGTGCGTAAAGAATGATGAATCATACTTCTGTCTGGCAATCCAATGGATGTGTCTGGGTTTGGCAGTTGCCAGGAGAACGGTACTTGCCTGACTGCATTGTGCCTACTGTAAAGTTTGGTGGAGGGGGGATTATGGTGTGGGGTTGTTTTTCAGGGGTTGGGCTTGTCCCCTTACTTTCAGTGAAGGGAACTGCGTCAGCATACCAAGACATTTTGGACAATTTCATGCTCCCAACTTTGTGGGAACAGTTTGGGGATGGTTCCTTCCTGTTCCAACATGACTGCGCACCAGTGCACAAAGCAAGGTCCATAAAGACATGGATGAGCGAGTTTGGGGTGGAGGAACTTGACTGGCCTGCAGAGTGTCCTGACTTCAACCCGATAGAACACCTTTGGGATGAATTAGAGTGGTGACTGTGAGCCAGGCCTTCTCGTCTGACATCAGTGCCTGACCTCACAAATGTGCTTCTGGAAGAATGGTCAAACATTCACATAGACACACTCTTAAACCTTGTGGACAGCCTTCCCAGAAGAGTTGAAGCTGTTATAGCTGCAAAGGGTGGGCCAACTCAATATTGAACCCTATGGACTAAGACTGGGATGCCATTAAAGTTCATGTGCGTGTTCAGGCAGGTGTCCCAATGCTTTTGGTATTATAATGTATATGGCACCCCTCTGTACCTTGATGAAGTGTCTTACATGTGCATGCGCGGGAGTGATGTCATCATCTCCTGGCCATTAAAGCTGCAGAACAGAGTAAACCAGGAAGGACCACTGGGGGAAGATGGAACCCTCAGGACCAGCTGGACCACTGACAACACAGCGATAGGGAGGTTTATTTGACAGATACGTCGGCCATAAGGTGCTAAAATGCTGTGCATATCCTCCTGGGGGACCATTTAAAAAGAAATATATCATGGGGTTTAATTCCAGTTATGGAATTACTGCTAATGGAATTGTATTTTGTATAATGACTAGTTGTCTGGATCTTGTTGATGCAGGTTGTTGTCTGAGGCAGGTCACATTTCCTGCTATATGCCCAAAGCTATTAGCATATCATTTATTTCTTCCAAACAATGAATGCAGAAAACAGGACTGAATAATATTTTGGTATATAAATTTATTGATGCAGTTTCTATTTTCTTAGTTAAAGTTAGGCTGCCATGGATTTACAGTGAAATATATAGTTCTTAATATAGCATTACCTGATTTTACAGTTTCATAGTTTAGGGGAGCCACATCTCAATGGCCAATTGTATATAAGGATTTGTAGGTTCTTCCTCTACTGCCTATTTCCTGTCACACAGTGCAATCAGCTCCCTTGCTGAACAACTACAAGTAATATAAATACTGTAAGTGTCCTGCCATGTGTGGGGATTATGTTTTCCTTGTTCACCATAGCGTGTCCTCATTCCTTCAGTTGTCATTTCAGTGTCACAAGGCTAGCATAAAGTAATCAGCCGTGGCACCAGTGCTCAGCATAATGCTAAGTTGAATATTTTATGACAATGGTGATAAATCATGTCTGGGTGCTTATTTTATGAAGTGAACCTGTCAAAAACCTGAACAACTTAAACCATGCATATTAATAAAATTACATAAGCAGAGGTTATCTTTAGTGAAAACCTTACATCAAAAAAATCAGTACATCCTGCAATATAGGTTGCTAAATTCTTTTGTAAATTTTGTAAAAGTCAAGATCGGCTGCGCTCCCTCCCACCTCAGCTTCACTCTTGGAAGTGAGGTTGCCTATCAAGGTTCAATAAGAAGGCTTGGAAGATGGAGGGGGGAATCAGTTTTTATAGAAGAGGTGCAGATTTGCATAATTGATATGCTAAAGGGATAACTCTCCTCCACCTTTTATGACAAATATGAAATTAAATGGAAAATAATTGTAGCCAGGTATTTGGCTAAGAGTGAGAGTAGCTGCTGCCCTGTGGTACTAAACTGGTTAACTTCTGTTTCAGCCAAAGGAGAGAGCTGCTGAGCAGGAAGAGCTCATTAGACTGAGCCAGGGGGCAATGAACTGTGGGAACTGTAGTCCTTAGGAGATACTCTACTGCATGGATGTCAAACTGGCAGCCCTCCAGCTGTTGCCAAACTACAAGTCCCATGAGGCACTGCAAGATTGACAGTTACAAGCATGACTCCCAAAGGCAGAGGCATGATGGGACTTGTAGTTTTGCAACAGATGGAGGTCCGCCAATTTGACACCCTTGCTCTACTGTGTAGTCAAGAGCTTTTGAACTATATTCTCGAGGGAGAAATTTCCAGGAGGATGGGAAAGAGCTGCATTTTTTTAGGCTGTACAGGACACAGCTTTCTCTTGCCGTGAGGGTCACTGGAGGGTGCACAATTACTGCTGAAATTTGGTGGCCTGAGCAGGATCTGGAGTGCTGAGTCCAGGTATACTGACAGCCAGAGTGACCTGAGTGCAGAGCAGAGAGTGGACTAATTGCTGTGTGTGACTGACTGGCGAGCTGCGACTGGTGAGCTGCTCCTGTGGGGATTTACCAACTGCTGCGAGAGAGAGAGAGAGAGAGAGAGAGAGAGAGAGAGAGAGAGAGAGAGAGAGAGAGAGACTGAGCCCTTTAGGAACTGACCATTCAGCCATCTTGTAGATATATTGCTGCCCCCAGACTTCACTGGGACTATTCTCATGTGCACCAATGGTACATCTGGGCCCCAACACTAGATGGCTATAGACATAGGACTAAAGACTGCCCCTTCACAGCTGCTACGCAGAGATCTTTACCTATTGCTTATGCTAAGAGATACCTCTCAGGGGATATTGCACCACATCCTAGTTATTCTAGATTAGTTATACTATTATTATTCACCTTACAATAAATTATTATATGCATTGGTTATTGCGGGATTTGCTGATTTATGTGTTGATTCCAGTCTAGTGGTACAGAACTCTATTCTAAGTAACTTTGACATAGTGCTTATACTGTCTAGCACACTGTGCCTGAACATACTTTTTGTGTGTTCATTTATCCTCAAACCATCATTTATTCCAGCTCATGCCAATGTATTGAGTCCATTTATCACTAAAAGGTCTTTTTCCTGATACAAATTCATAATTAAGTTCAAAGTATCCACACTTGTGTCCCTATAGGTGCTTGCTGTAACTTTCACTCAACCAGGTGTTTTAGATAGGCTGAGATTGTTCTAGGGGTTGAGGCACAGAACAGAGAACCCAAATTACCAAGCGGCTCCATCAGGGGTAGAGCTAAATAATGGAGAAACAAAATTTAGATGCAGTTGTCTTTAGTTTAGTGTTTCCTTACACTTGTGATCACTTGTGATCAGCGGAGAAGCCTCTTGTTAACTTTAGTGGTCATTGCTTAATTATCCCTTTCCACTTGTGGTCAGTGTTGAAGCACTCTCTTACATTGATAATAAGTGTCCCCCTGTATTAATTTGCAGTGGAGACGTTCCCCGCCAGCTTGACAGTTCTTAAATACTGTGATGACTTAACAAGGGGGCGGGGTGGCCCCACCCATTATGATGTCATCATGTGCTGTGATTGGTGAAAGCAATGCACCTGACCACAGGTCATGAACGAAGGTCATAAACCTGAAGACAAGAACAGCCAATGTTGAAGTCAAACTTATGTTCGACTCGAACATGAAGTCCAAGCATAATGGATAGTCAGTGGAGAAGCACCCTTACATTGGTGGTCAGTGGTGACTTGCCCCTTACAATGGTGGTCAGTGCAAAAGTACTCTTACATTGCTGGTCATCAGAAAAGCACGCCATATTGGTGGTTAGTGATCAAGTGCCTCTTTATGCTGGCGATCAGTACAGAATCACTTGGTAGGTTAACTGGGTTCTGTCTACATTGGCCCTAGTATGTGTACAGTATGTGTGAATGTGAGTAAGGGACCTTAGATTGTAAGCTCCTTGAGGGCAGGACTGATGTGAATGTACAATATATATGTAAAGTGCTGTGTAATTTGACAGTGCTATATAAGTACCTGTAATACAAAATAATAAAATAAATACATTGTTGGTCAGCGGTGAAGTGCCCCCTTACATTGCTGGTAAATTAGAAAGATTTACCTTCACTTTCTGTCCTGCACAGGGGCAGACTGACCATCTGGAAACTGGGCACTGCCCGAGGGCCCGGCGTCAGTAGGGGGCCCCATGAGATGCCCCTGGTACCTTTTTCATAGGCTTTTTTTGAGTTTGGGCAAGGACACAGGGGCCCCATGATCCCCTATTGCCCGGGGTCCCCATGAGTTGTCAGTCCGCCCCTGGTCCTACAGACAAAATTTCACCAGACAGCAGGTAAGGGATCTGTCCAACAGTCACACAGGCTGAAATCAAAATGATGTTCTTTGGTAGAGTAGGGGAAGATTATTAATTTTGTCTGTGTGCCTGTTGCAGATTTTCTCTCACCTCCTATCTGGTGAAACAATTATAACCAGGAGAGAAAGGGAAGGTAATCCCCCTGCTGCCGAGTCAAAGCCTGTGAGGAGGAAGCAGGGTCAATGGCCAAACTGGGCTGTGTGTGTCCATGGACACACACAGCCCAGCTTGGTATTAAGCCTGTACAAGTGCCCTTATAGCAAGTGGCTTGCTATTGGGGCACGTCAAGATGAGGAGGAGCCAAGATCATCAGCAGGGGACCCCAGAAGTGAAGATTCAGGGATGCTCTGTGCAAAACCGTTGCACAGAACAGGTAAGTATAACATGTTTATGATTTTCAGAAAAAAAGAAGCTTTACAACCACTTTAAGAATGAATTTCTTGCAAGTGGCTTGGGCTACAGAGGTCCTTGATGGCTTGTTTAAAAGCTCATTTGATACTGACCATCAATATGTTCTTGAAAACTAGGATTCGAGTCTTCAAGAACAACGTTGCTGTTAATTTATTGATATCTATTGAAAGATAATGAAAAAAAAAACAGCTTCAGGTAAAAACTGCAAGCGATTAGGGCTTGTTTATATGTACGTTTATACTGCTGCCCCTCTGAAAACCAATCTGTGATGGATTGCTTTTCAGAGGGTGTTTGACAGGCTGCGAGGAGGCACCTTTTTGCCATCTGCTTCAACAAAGATGCAACTCACCTGTGTGAGTCACATTTGGTGGTGCTACTGCCTGGCGAATGCCACATGCCGTTTAATTTTTTGCTATGCCCGCAGCATAGGTATTAGAGGCACATACACACATACAGTCTCTAACCCCTGGTTCACATATATGCGGCCTTGCCGGCTGCATTTGAGCTGACACAAGAGCCCATTCATTTGAATGGACTCCCGTGCCCCATGACAATCAGGGAAGAAGTCCCTGCACTTCTTCTGAAAACACGGCCCGCACAGGAACCTCGGTTCCCAGTACAGTTGCCTTTTCCAGTGTGGGCGGCGAGCCATTAGAACTAATGGCACCCGCCCGTGGGTCCGCATTCCTCTGTGTGGATGGTGCGGCTGCGCAGTTTTTCGTGCAGATCCACAGTGGCACCACCCGCACATATGTGAACCAGGTCTAAAACCCTCCTGTTACAGATGAATACTTATGTGTTCTGATGGGCACTTCCCGCAGCTTTGACACTACTCAGGAGTGTTGGGGGTTTGCCTGTTAGCGTGGCTTAGAGTTCAGGCAGGAGAGGAGGTATTTAGAGGTTGCTGCAGGTATGTGCACTTCTATGTGCCCACACCTTATTCCTACAGCAGTTTTTTTTTTTATTTTTTACAAGAGAGTACCCACTTGCCCTCCAGAGGATTTACCCCCCTTCCTGGTCATTTTTTGCAATATGGCGCTGCGTTACTTTGACAATTGTGCAGTCATGCAACACTGCACCCAAATTAAATTTACGTCCTTTTTTCCCCACAACAAAGAAACTTTCTTTCTTTGGTATTTGATCACTTCTGCATTTTTTATTTTTTGCGCTATAAAAAAAGACCGACAATTTTGAGAAAAAAAACACTATTTTTTACTTTTTGCTATTAAACATATCCAGTAACAAAATTTAAATAAATAAATTAATCAATTTTGTCATAAATTCAGACCAAAATGTATTCTGCTACATGTCTTTGCTGAAAAAAAAAACCCAGTACGTGTAAATTAATTGGTTTACATGAAAGTTATAGTGTCTACAAATGGCGGTATATATACTGGAATTTTTTTTTTCCATACTAGTAATGGCGGCAATCAGCGACTTATAACGGGACTGTGGTGGGCATTCTGACACTGGGGGGGAACTGACTAGCTGTCACTGACAACAATACAATGATCAGTGCTAATAAAAAGCACTGACACTGTACTAATGACACTGAGCAGGAAGGGGTTAACATCTGGGGCATTCAAAGGGCTAACTGTGTGCTGTGTTACCGTGTGATGTTTGTGTGCTTTAGGGCTCATTCACACTTGACTTTATTTCTAACTCTTGCCAAATGCCCCTATAGCATTTGAGAGGCGTTAGACAGAGTTTTTAACGCTCCTCAAATGCTCCCAAAATGCCCTATGTGCGGTTTGGAGGCGGTTAATAGGCGTTTGCCAAGCTTTAAAACCGCACCACAAACTCCTATAATGAAGTTAAATGGTATTAACGCTCCGCAACTGCCTCGCAACCGCCTCGCAACTGCCATGTGCAGAATTTTCATAGGCGTTTGACAAGCGTTAAAAACGCTTCCCAAATGCCTGTCTGATGCCTACTGACAAAGCTAGTGTGAACGTAGCCTTACTGTTTACATACCTCCCAACTTTCTGAGATGGGAATGAGGGAGAGCTATTAGCAAAAGTATGTAGGTACAGGCAGTGGTGTATTTAGGTTTTGTGCTGCCCTAGGCAACACAAAAATTGGCGTCCCCCCCTGCAGAAAGAGCCTGACATTGACCAACAACACCCCTGCCCTCCACCCGAGCCTTCCACTACCACTGCCCCCCCCCCATATAGCAGCCAGCAGCCCTCATGGTGAGAGAGAGAAAGATACTCACCTTCACAGCTCCGGACATCCCCATGAACGAGAGTTGGGCTGTGCATACACCGTCATGAAACCCACAGCATCTCTCGGAACCCACCAGATCCCCATGCTGTGTGTCCCCCTTCTTTCAATCCTTCTTCCAAGGGGCAGTGCTGCCCCCCTTGAAAAATGCTGCCCTAGGCAAATGCCTTGTTTGCCTTGTGGTAAATACACCCCTGGGTACAGGACACACCCCCTGCCATGTCCCCTTAAAGGAGAAATGTAGAAAAAAAAGATTGGGCCCGCAGGGGTGTCAAACTGGCAGCCTTCCAGTTGTTGCAAAACTACAAGTCCCATCATGCCTCTGCCTTTGGGAGTCATGCTTGTAACTGTCAATCTTGCAATGCCTCATGGGACTTGTAGTTTGGCAACAGCTGGAGGGCCGCCAGTTTGACACCTGTGGAACCCGCAAGTTCTTTTTTAACACTACTATTCCTTTATATTGGCTATTTGAAAGCACAAATGCAGCAATTTAGAAACTGGATAAAAGGTTGAGCACTGGAAAACACTTTTTGATTGATAAGCAGTGCATTCTTTATACAACTATATAGATCAGACCAAAATGAGGGACAAATGAGGAGGAAAGAGGGACAGAGGGACTTTGTTCTGAATGAGGGACAGTCCCTCGAAATCAAGGACAGTTGGAAGCAATGCATAGGGGTAAAACGTTTCTTCTAATAGACTTCCCTATACCTGGAGAGCCAGCTGTGTCTCACAAATATGCAGCTTGCAGGTTTATTGTAGTATAATGTGTGAGATGTGGCAGCACAGTAAAGTAAAATCCGGCTTTATAATGTGAGATGACACATAACTCATTACGATGTGTTGCAATAAATTGTGTAAAGTAAGTCTATAAACCCATCTAATCTATTACCAATCCAGGCTCACAGCTAAGGTATTAATAACACGCAAGCACCACACAGCGTCTGATTAGGGCTGGATATCCAGATAAATATTAATCCAAGTAAAAAAGCAATTACAATAAGAGAACTTATAAAGAAATAACATTAAGGGGCATTGTATGATTAACCCTTTGATCGCTAGCCATACATAATATAAATGGCATGAAAATGAACAAGTAATGTCTACACAAAGTGGGCATTTAAAGCAAACCTGCATCAGCAAATCAAATTCAAAATGACAGGCATCCTCCTCCAAGACTATAAATGACTGTAAGTGCTTCTGTTTGTCCCCCCCCACTCAATCCGTGCTGTAGCCACACTGGAAACCCTGCTACTTGTGACAATGAGGCATGCTAGATCATGGCCTCCTGCACCATGGTCGTTAGGTGCTGGTGTGTGGTGATTGGGCATGCCAAGCAGACTGCAAATATCAACTTTCAAGAAAGTCAGTATTTGCATAGGCTCTTTGAGTGGACGGAGGTATGGGTCAGGGTGGTGAAGGGGGCATTAATGGTATGTTAAGACTTTTAAGGGTGCCTGCTATGCAGCGTGGGGTTATTTTATATTTGATTTGTTGATGACAGATGTGTTATAAAAAAGGAGCTACGGAATGTTTTGTAACTCTATGCCTGCCTTTAACAGGCATATGTGCAAGAAATTAACAAAAAAAGTACCTTTGTATGGCCATTCCTCTTCCGCAATACATTACAAATCACCAATATTAATGTACACAAGAGCACAAGAAGAATATCAACATACAAGAGGAACTTGGCTGGTCTGCACATAGTCCTGACCATAACCCGATAGAACACCTTTGGGATAAATTAGAACGCAGACTGTGAGCCAGGCCTTCTCGTCTGACATCAGTGTCTGACCTCACAAATGTGCTTCTGGAAGAATGGTCAAACATTCCCATAGAGACACGCTCCTAAACCTTGTGGACAGCCTTCCCAGAAGAGTTGAAGCTGTTATAGCTGCAAAGCTGCAAAGGGTGGGCCAACTCAATATTGAACCCTACGGACTAAGACTGGGATGCCATTAAAGTTCATATGCGTGTAAAGGCAGGCATTCCAACACTTTTGGCAATATAGTGTATACTCACTATGTATATCATCCAATATAATAAATGTGATACACCCCCTGTTCAAATATTCCTTGTTCTGATTACATTTTTCACTAATGCCCTCTAAAATTGAAAAAAAAAAATATTTTCTAATCATTCCATTTTATATTGAAAAAAATGAAGAACAAAAAACACTTCCTATCGGTCTTAAACAAATTCTTTACTAAAATTAACTATTAGGATGTGTTGACTAGGGGAACCCAACAGAGTAGTATTCCCTTGGACATGTTATAGGTCAGTGATGGCGAACCTTCTAGAGACCGAGTGCCCAAACTGCAACCCAAAACCCACTTATTTATCAATAAGTTCCAATACTGCAATTAAACTTGAATACCAAGCTGGACCAATGTTTGACACATACACATCATTCTCTACTCTTGGTCCGGACTTACTTTATGGGGTATGAATTATATACTCCCCGGGGACTTATATAGGGGGAAGTTAATTACTTTACTGGAGGAACTTACACTTATATGGGACTTGATCCTGGCCAATAGGGCTAGGTTCACACATCTGCGTCCTGCATGTAGGCAGACTATTAATTTCTGTGGGCCACCCCTAGAAATGCAGTGAAAAAAGTCCCTGACTATTATTTAAACCTGCGCCGCACCAAGTTGCATATTGCTGCAGCACTATGCGATTTGGCATGTGCAAAAATGCGCTGATGAATGGGTGCCATTAGGAATTGCTCACTTTGCAGGTTGGAGAGGCACTGATGATGATGGTGTGGGCTCAGAAGTGTCTCAGAAAAGTGCAGGGGATGGTCCGATTTCAGCAAGACTGCCATGTGGAACTGGAGGCCCAATGTTTGACCACAGTGATCCCATAAACTTTACCGCTCCACCGACCCCAGTATGTGTCTGTCATCGATCAGATGGAGAGCTGAATATTCAACTTCCTAGCTCCGGCCATGTATAGGGACACAGCAGTTCTGGAACTTTGTCAGGACTGGTGATGGAAGGCGGCCAAGGGCCCCGGCAGGGTGATCGGACAGACGGAGGAGGCTGTGAGTAAGGAGGACTTACCAGATGACAAGGAGGATGCAGCAGAGCAGAATGTCACATCCCGGGGACACCGACACTGCTGCCTCACATTGTATTGTCACCATTACCGGGCTCTGTGTGCCCGCTACAGCATGCGTGCCATAGCTTCGCCACCACTGTCATAGATGAAGCAAATGCAAACACATTCACTCATTACTTTTTTTTTTTAAATGCGCTCCCCTTTCACCCAAGCAGGTATGTTTATAGACTGAGGAGGTATACTCGCTACTAGCCTTATCTTGGAGGAATAATATTGATTTTTTGGGAAAAGTGAATCTCACTAGTAGAATCCTGCAATCCAATAGTTGGGGTGTGAAAGATTGGCTATACATTATTAGATGTTTTAAGGCATGGTTCACATATATGCATTTTGTGTTTGATGCTTTCTCCACTGCTTTTTACAGTTTGTTTTGCGTTTTTTCTACCCACGTTTTTGACATGTTTTGACACGATTTTGACGTGTTTCGTTCAGCTCTTTTTTTTTTTTTTGTTCAAAGTGGAATTTTTTTTGTTTGCTGGGCTGAATAAAAATGCAAATATACAAAATGTGGCAAAAACATGGCAAAAACACGCTACCATGCATTTCAGCAGCTTCTCCATTGAACTCTATCATGAGAGTCTGCTTTTTGCTTTTAAAAAAGTCCCTGACCCTTTCCAAAACTGCAGCAGCTCAAAAAACCATAGATGTAAACAAAAAGCTCTATATGGGGCAGCACAGTGGCTAAATGGTTAACACTTCCACCTGGCAGTACTAGGGTTGTTGGTTTGAATCTCAACCACAGCACCACCTGTCTGGAGGTTTCATGTTCTCCCTGTGCCTGCATGGGTTTCCTCCGGGTACTCTGGTTTCCTCCCACACTCCAAAGACATGCTGGTAGGTTAAATGGATCCTGTCTAAATTGGCCCTTGTGTGTGTGTGAATGTGAGTTAGGGCCCTTAGATTGTATACCCTCAGAGGGTTAGGGACTGATTTGAATGTACAATATATATGTAAAGTGCTGTGTAAATTGACAGCACTATATAAGTACCTGTAATAAAAAAATAAAAAACAAATTGGTGTAAAACAGAGCCTAATTCAGCCTGCTTATTCCTCTACAGATTCCTCTATCCATGCTATACAGTGCAGATGGATGAATCTCCCGCTGTAGCTATTGTATGCTAACAGCCAGCACCAGCGGCTATCAGAATTCCTGGACAGCAACTTCTTTTAATTGGATGCTGCTGGCATTTGGCTGACAATTTTCTGCCCAGCTGTTTCAGATGGGAGAGAGCCAACAGTACTATCCAGAAATTTCGAACAGTGTATAGCCAGATTTAGTTTGATCCGTAGGGTTGTACATTAGAGATCATCACTCAGTCTAGCCCAAATCATCAGCAATGTACAATAGTCATACAATGCCTATTAATAGTCTTTATATATACTGTATATACTATAAATCACATGTTGAAAAGCGGCTGATTTCGTGCAGCACAGTCCTGAAGAGATAATTTTTTTAACTTTAATTTTGCAAAATTACCAATTATCATGTCAACTACATTTGCAAGATGACAAGTCTGAGCGCACATATCAGTATGCATGTGTCACTGCTATATCAGACAAGGCAGGTCTGTAAATGTCTCTAGCTAACATCTATGCTACTTGGGATTCAGGAGCATCATATCACTCATAAGGAGAGTGGAATCACAGTATTGTCCTGTACAAACTCTGCCTGGAGGAGAGATACTGCTAATTAATGTACTGTAGCTGCACAAACAGGATTGCATGTTTATTTTCTACTCTCCCCCTCGCCTCTCTAGCAGATCTAAGATGAAGCACCATTTACATCAGTACACAAGGCTCAGGCAGTTCTCGCTAATGGTTCTGTTATCTGAAATATCAGAATGTCAGTGCTGACAATAGCTCTACTGCTGAGTGTTCCCATTAACCACTTTCAGTTCCTGCCTGTGGAAAATGAGAGATTTTTTTTTTAACCCCGTTTCAAGGTAGCGATTGTATATTACCTTAAAATGTATGAGGAAGATAACAGTAAGCTTTGATTTATTAGGTCACATTCCTTTCACTCCCCATTGTACATAGAGCTAGTGCACTGAGTTGAGAAAATAGCTGATAAAATAACACATAGCAAATCAGGACCAGCTTTTTTGTAAAGCTGGAATTTGCAGGTATGCCAGTTTGTAGGTTGGGGTTTCCCTCTGTGGTGTGATTGGTTCATTTGTAGGTTGGGGTTTCCTTCTGTGGGTTGCTTGGTCAATTTGTAGGTAGGGGTTTCATTTTGTAGTTTGCTTGGCCAATATGCAGGTTGGTAGTTTCCTTCTGTGGGTTGCTTGGCCAATTTGTAGGTTGTTGTTTCCTCCTGGTAGTTGCTTGGTTAAATTATAGGTTGGTAGTTTCCTTCTGTTGGTTGCTTGGCCAATTTGTAGGTTGAGGTTTCCTTCTGTCGGTTGCTTTGCTAAATTGTAAGTTGGGGTTTCCTTCTGTGGCTTGCACTTCGGTAATTGACCTGGTAAAGGCAATGCATAGCCATTTCTTTTATTTTTAAGATATATATGTAAATGTCAAATACCTGGCAGGGAAGCCTGATGAGAAGAAGATAGACTCTCTTACACCTCCAGCCCTGGATCCCTGATAGAGTGGACAGGTAGAGGAAGGGCATGGAGTGGCATGAATGCCTCACTGGTCTGATGAATGCTCGTGTGGGTGAATGGGAGCCACTGGTTGAGTCCACAAGTTGTGGGGGAGGGGGAGGGATAACAAGCAGGAGACTGGTTGCTGGAGAAGCAGATTGTAATGGCCAAACACAGGATCAGCAGACTGGTGAACAGGTACGTAGTAATTACAGCTAGTAAGTAGTAAGTAAAGTTGCAGTTGGGTAAATAGAAGAGATGCCGGAGCTCAGGGCTGGTTCAAGCTTGGGCAGGCTGTGTCAACATCTGGCAGGCAGAACTGGTACAGAATCAGTAGCTGATACAAGGTCAGGTTCCAAGTCTGGATTGGTATCAAACAAGCAGGTCTGGAGCAAGAGGGGGCTGGCGGAAACAAGATCGTTTAGTAGGCCAAGGTTGTTACAGGTGGATAGTAGAAGCAAGTCAAGACAAGTTGGATCAGAATCAGGAAGTCAATCTGGAAATACTGGACACAGGTTAACAGGTACTGCGGAAGACAAGTCAGGCCATGTGCAACTATCCAGTTTAATGCTCTGGAGTTGTAAGTGGGGTACCCAAAGGCTCTGTCCTGGGACCAATTCTTTTTAACATGTTCATAAACAATATAGAGGTTGGTATAAATAGTTTAATCTCAGTATTTTTTGAGGAAACAAAGCTAGGCAAGGTAATACCTTCACAAGAGGTTATAGCAACTCTACAGGAAGCTCTTGATCACGTGTATGGGCAACTATGTGGCAAATGAGGTTTAATGTTGAAAAATATAAAGTAATGCACTTGAGGACTAAAATATGAATGCAAGTTACTCACTAGGGGGAGAATCTCTGGGGGAATTGAGGATGGAATAAGATTCTAGTAGATCACAGGGTCAGCAATAGCATGCAATACCAAGCTGCAGCAAGCAAAGCTAGCAGACTTTTAGCATGGATTATAAAAGGTATCTACACAACAGATAAAACCAGCGATGGACTGACAACTCATACCGGGGGGCCCCCCCCCGGGCAATAGGGGATCATGGGGCCCCTGTTTCCTTGCCCAAACTCAAAAAAGCCTATGAAAAAGTTACCAGGGGTATCTCATGGGGCCCCCTACTGACCCCGGGCCCTCGGGCAGTGCCCAGGTTTCCAAATGGTCAGTCCGCCCCTGGATAAAACTATATTTCTACCACTTTACAAAAATCTGGTTTGGCCTCATCTTGAGTATGCCATCCAGTTCTGGTCACCAATCCTCAGGAAGGATGTGCTGAAGCAAGAAAGAGTCCAGGGAAGGGCAACAAAGCTAAGCAGTTTAACTTTAAACTGTGTAAGGGGTTCTTTCCTCCAGGATGGCACATCAATATGTGCCATTGCCAGAAGGTTTGCTGAGTTTCCCAGCACAGTCTCAAGAGCATGAAGAAGAGTCAAGGAGATAGGCAGTGACTCTAGGAGAGCTGAACAGGGCTGTAGAAGGACCTTAACCCATCAGCGGTACCAGTATCTACTCCATTGTGCAAGGAAGAACAGGATGAGCACTGCCAGATCCCTACAAAATGACCGCCAGCAGGTTGCTGGTGTGAATGTCTCTGACCAAACAATCAGAAACAGACTTCATAAGGGTGGCCTGAGGCCCAGACATCCTCTAGTGGGCCATGTGCTCACTGCCCGGCATCATAGAGCTCGATTGGCATTTGCCATTGAACACCAGAATTGGTAGTTCTGCCACTGGCGCCCTCTGATTTTCACAGATGAGAGCAGGTTCACCCTGAACACATGTGACAGATGTGAAAGGGTCTAGAACAGCCAAGGAAAATGTTATGCTGCCTGTAACATCGTTCAGCATGACCGTTTTAGTGGTGGGTCGGTGATGGTCTGGGTAGGCATATCCATGAAGGGACGCATAGACCTCTACAGGCTAGACAATGGCACCTTGACTGCCATTAGGTAACGGGATGAAATCCTTGGACCCACTGTCAGACACTACGCTGGTGCTGTGGGTCCTGGGTTCCCCCTGGTGCATGACAATGCCCAGCCTCATGTAGTGAGAGTATGCAGGCAGTTCCTGGAGGATGAAGGAATTGATACCATTGAATGGCCCCCATGCTCACCCGACCTAAATCCAATAGAACATCTCTTGGATATCATGTTTCAGTCCATCTGACACCGTCACGTTGCACCTCAGACTGTTGAGGAGCTCAGTGATGCCCTGATCCAGTTCTGGGAGGAAATACACCAGGACACCATCCGTTGTCTCATTAGGAGCATGCCCCGATGGTGTCAGGCATGCATACAAGCACGTGGGGGCCATACAAACTACTGAGTACCATTGCAATGAAATTTCAGCAAAATGGACTAGCCTGCTGCATCATTTTTTTCACTTTGATTTTTGGGGTGTCTTTGAATTCAGTCATTTGTAGGTTGATCATTTTCATTTCCATCAAATGATGGGGCATCCTTACATTCCTAACACACTACCCAGTCCATATTAGTATAGATAGCCAACATGATATTTTTCCCCATTGAGATCTGATGTGTTTTCAAAGTGTTCCTTTCATTTTTTGAGCAGTGTATATGTAAAGTGCTGTGTAAATTGACAGTGCTATATAAGTACCTCTAATAATAATAATGCTGTATAAGTGGTGAGAAGATAACAGGGGGCCAGAGTGACTGCAGCAGTATGTCGCTGTGTGCTTAGTTCTCTTTATATGTGATCATGCTAATGTTGCCACTAATTTCTCTTATCGCTAATTGCACAGGTTGGATTTTTCAGGTCATTCACCATAATTTTGTTAGGTTAAATCTGTCGCAAGAGGTTTCATCACACACACCTATCAAGTTTATGGACTTGTTTGGCCATATTACTATTATTATACAGGATTTATATAGCACCAACAGTTTGCGCAGCGCTTTACAATATAAGGGAGACAGTACAATTACAATACATTTCAGTACAGAAGGAATGTGAGGGCCCTGCTCGTAGAGCTTACAATCTAAAGGAAGGAGGAGATGATGCAAAAGGTGATAGCTGTGGGGGATGATCTGGTGGAGGTGATTCAAGCACAGTCCTTAGGTGGAGGTAGGGTAGGCTTCCCTGAAGAAGTGCGTTTTCAAAGATCGCCTAAAGGCAGACAGGGTGGGGGCTGACCGGACATGCTGTGGTAGGGAGTTTCAGAGGATAGGAGAGGCTCTGGAGAAGTCCTGGAGGCGAGCGTGGGAGGAGGTGATGAGGGAGCTAGAAAGGAAGATATTATGGGAGGAGCCAAGTGGGCGATTTGGCCGATATCTTTGGATGAGGTCGGTGATGTAGCTAGGGGCAGTGTTGTGGATGGCTTTTAAGCTGTGGTTATTTTTTTGAATTTTATACGTTGGGTTAGTGGAAGCCAGTGAAGGGATTGGCAGAGAGGGGCAGCAGTCGCTGATCGGTTGGTAAGGTGTATGAGTCTAGCAGCAGCATTCATAATAGACTGAAGGGGGGATAGCCTGTGTAACGGTAGACCAGTGAGGAGGGAGTTGCAGTAATCGAGGCAGGATATAACCAAGGCATGAATAGGTTGTTTTGTGGTGTCATTGGTCAGGAAGGGGCGTATTTTGGAAATGTTCCAGAGGTTGAGGCGGCAGGATTTAGCCAGTGAGTGGATGTGGGGCCCAAAGGAGAGGTCAGAGTCTAGGATTACGCCTAGCACCCTGGCATGAGGGGAAGGACCAATGGCTGTGCTGTTGATCTTAATGGTAAAGTTGTGAGTGGGGGATCGGAGAGGAGGAAATATTACAAGCTTGGTTTTTGAAAAATTGAGTTTAAGGTAGTGATGTGACATCCATGCTAATATGACGCTTAGTAGTAGATTTGTGATACGTGAGGAGATTGAGGGGGTGAGCTGGGGAGTGGAGAGATAGATCTGGGTGTCATCAGCATAGAGGTGGTATTGGAAGCCATGGGAGGTTATCAGTTGGCCCAGGGAGGAGGTATAGAGAGAGAAAGGAGGGGCCCAAGAACAGAACCTTGGGGTACCCCAACAGAAAGGGGAAGAGGAGCGGGAGGAGGAGGAGGAGTTGTAAGTGACACTGAAAGTGCTCTGAGAAAGGTAAGAGGAGAACCAGGAGAGAGCAGAGTCACGGAGGCCGATGGAGTGGAGTTTACTGAGGAAGAGCGGGTGGTCGACTATGTCAAAGGCAGTGGAAAGGTCAAGGAGTATGAGTATGGAGTAATGGCCATTGGTTTTAGCAGTTAGTAGGTAATTAGTGAGTTTTAGTAGGGCAGTTTCTGTGGAATGTTGTGGGTGGAAGCCAGACTGTCGGGGATCAACAAGGTTGTTGTCGGTGAGGTAGCAGTTGTGAACAAGGCGCTCGAGAAGCTTGGAGGCAAACAGGAGCAGGGAGATGGGTCTTAAGTTATTCAAACAGGTGGGGTCCAGCGAGGGTTTTTTGAGAAGTGTATGTTTGAGTGGGGAGGGAAAGGTGCCCATGGAGAGTGAGAGGTTGAAGATTTGGGTTAGAGAGTTTAGGATAGAGCAGGAAGGAGGCTGCAACAGCCATGAAGGGACAGGATCCAGGGGACAGGTGGTGAAGTGGGCCTTGGAAAGGAGTTCGGTAACTTCCTTGGTGGTAACAGGGTCAAAGGAGGAGAGTGTTGAGTTTGGTGTTGGGCCTGGTATGTTGGTTAGAGGAGGAAGCTTGACACTTCTTGAAGTGACTGGCAATCTCCTGTGCAGTAAGTTTGTGGGTGGAGGCAGTGGGGGGTGGAGTAAAGAATTAAGGGTAGAGAAGAGTTGATGAGGATTGGATGAAAGGGTCTTGATGAGAGTGTTATAGTAGGTTTGCTTAGCAGTGTGAAGGCTGGAGTTGTATTTAAGAAGAGTGGATTTGTAGAGGGTAAAGTCTTTCAGGGATTTAGTTTTACGCCATGCTCGCTCAAGAGTGTGGCTGCGTCTCTTGAGACTTCTGGTGTCATCTGTTTGCCAGGGTTGAGACAGGCGAGGCCTGGTTCTGCATGTAGAAAGAGGAGCAAGAGCGTCCAGGGAGGATGATAGATAGTTGTTGTAGGCAGATGTGGCCAGCTCTGGGCAGGACAGGGGTGCAATTTCTTTATATTGTGTCCCAGTATATAACTGCATGCTATGTCTATAGAAACACAGGGGTTAATTTACTGAATACAAATAGGCTGTTCACCTTGCAAGGGAAGTTGCACTTTGCAAAAGAATTTTCCTCAGACCATAGTGAGTGAGGTGAAGCTCTGCTGACTTGCTGTTGTTTTCTATGCTCCTTACATGTGATTGGGTATTCTTTGCAAACTTAAATTTCACCACAATCACTAAGGTCTGGGGAACTTCCCTTGCAAAGTGAACAGCCTATTTAGTAATTCAACCTCAAGATGTTTAGCATTAAATATCACAACTAGATTTCCACATTACCTTCTCAACCCCAGCACGAGGTCTTCTTCTCAAGGAGCATTCCAGTCACTGCCACTTCCAGGGGAATATGTTTATTGTCTCGGCCATGGGGTAGGCCAAGTCTTTAGACTACACTTGAAGATTCACATTACCTTTCTTGTGTGTGGCAACCTTGTGATGACACATAATGAGTATAATGCTGATTCCCTGCTACAAAAGTGTGAAAGGGTGAAACTATGGCCCACACCATTGCAGTGACCCATTTTATTGTCGTTCTATTAAAGACAATTATTGGAAATGGTGATAGCCAAAGAATCATTGAGAAGAGTTTAGTATATGAAATGCAATGCCAAGTGTAGAAGATAGGCTAGGGAACTTTGGAAGGCAATAAATGTTTTGCTACTTTTTAAAATGATACAATCTATTAGTTCCAGGCATTTACAGAGTGTACTGCTTTAATCTCATGCATATATGCAATGCTCGGTTCAGAAAGCATTTGAATAAAGCTTTCCACACATAAAAGAATGCCAATCTTTTTTTAAATGACATAAACATTTGCTATGCCTGTCCTTCAAGGTTATCCTTTGTTCACATTTGAATTCCATATATCTTCAGTGTATTGCTTGATTGCACTGAACGTATTCACATCATGCAATGGTCTTCTGATGTATACAGGTACCATCTAAGACCTTAAAGCTGTTGTCTGACAGTCATAGATTCAGGCTTATTATGGTGGTTAAATGAAAGGCCAGAAGAGCAATCATACCTGACTTGCCATGTTATAACAAGAGTTTATTCTCCCAGAGCTTATCAGCTGGTCTCCGGAGAGTCATTCTCTGTTTACATCATATGTCATGGAAGCTTTTTATTTCCTGCACAGACAAATTAATCATACGCAAT